GATAAGGATTTGTGATGGGTACTTGGTATGTTGACTTTTGCGTAGACTCCCCGGCAACGGCGGCAGAAATGGCTTGTTGTCGGGAGTCGAATCTTGACTTGACTTGGCGTGAATCTCCCCAGCAATGGCGCCAGAAATCCTTCTTGATACCTCTTGAGCACTGCGTTGGTTTTCCCTTGAAGAGGAAAGGGTGATGCATCAAAGTAGCGTAAGTATTTTCCTTAGTTTTTGAGAACCAAGGTATCAATCTAGTAGGAGGCCATGCACGAGTCCCTCGCACCTACACAAACAAATAAAATCCTCGCAACCAACGCAATAAAGGGGTTGTCAATCCCTTCACGGTCAGTTACTAAAGTGAGATCTGATAGATATGATAAGATAATATGTTTGGTATTTTCATGATAAAGATGCAAAGTAAAGAAAGCAAAATAAACGGAAAAGGAAATAGCTTGTTGAAGGAAGATTAATATGATGGAAAATAGACCCGGGGGCCATAGGTTTCACTAGTGGCTTCTCTCGAGAGCAATTGACAGAATTGAGCATAGTTATGAGAATATCTAGGTATGATCATGCATATAGGCATCACGTCCGAGACAAGTAGACCGACTCCTGCCTGCATCTACTACTATTACTCCACACATCGACCGCTATCCAGCATGCATCTAGAGTATTAAGTTCAAAAGAACAGAGTAACGCTTTAAGCAAGATGACATGATGTAGAGGGATAAACTCATGCAATATGATATAAACCCCATCTTGTTATCCTCGATGGGAACAATACAATACGTGCCTTGCTGCCCCTACTGTCACTGGGAAAGGACACCACAAGATTGAACCCAAAGCTAAGCACTTCTCCCATTGCAAGAAAGATCAATCTAGTAGGCCAAACCAAACTGCTTATTCGAAGAGACTTGCAAAGATAACCAATCATACATAAAAGAATTCAGAGAAGTTTCAAATATTTTTCATAGATAAACTTGATCATAAACCCATAATTCATCGGTCTCAACAAACACACCACAAAAGAAGATTACATCGAATAGATCTCCACAAGAGAGGGGGAGAACTTTGTATTGAGATCCACAAAGAGAGAAGAAGCCATCTAGCTAATAACTATGGACCCGAAGGTCTGAAGTAAACTACTCACACTTCATCGGAGAGGCTATGGTGTTGATGTAGAAGCCCTTCGTGATCGATGCCCCCTCCGGCGGAGCTTCGGAAAAGGCCCCAAGATGGGATCTCATAGATACAGAAAGTTACGGTGGTGGAATTAGGGTTTTGGCTCCGTATCTGGTAGTTTGGGGGTACGTAGGTATTTATAGGAGGAAGAAGTACGTCAGTGGAGCAATGCGGGCCCCACGAGGGTGGAGGGCGTGCCTGGGGGGTAGGCGTGCCCCCTACCTCGTGCCTTCTTGATTGATGTCTTGATCATGTTCGTTCCAAAAAACATGTTCCCGAAGGTTTCATTCCGTTTGGACTCCGTTTGATATTCTTTTTCTGTGAAACTCTGAAATAGGCAAAAAACATCAATTCTGGGCTGGGCCTCCAGTTAATAGGTTAGTCCCAAAAATAATATAAAAGTGTATAATAAAGCCCAATAATGTCCAAAACAGGATATAATATAGCATGGAACAATCAAAAATTATAGATACGTTGGAGACATATCAGGGGGCCTTCAAATCTTGACAAATTTTAGTAAAAATGAAGGATGAGCTCGAAGAAAGGAGAAGAACAGAGGAGAGGAATGAAAGGGGAAAACAGATAGAAATCGGTTCGGACTTGACGAAGGGTTTATATAGAGGCACATTTAGTCCCAGTTGGTTATACAAACCGGGACTAGAGGTACACCTCTATTACCGGTACATGTCACGAACGGGGACTAAATGTGCTGGTGGGGCCCCAGCCTGACACCAGCCTGCCACCACTATAGGTTCAACACAAACCAGGACTAATGATTCCCACCCCCCTAGCCGTTGGAACCGGCACTAATGGTCGAATTAGTACCATTCCCTTTCCAAACCTTGACTAATGGGGCTTACGTGAAGTCGTTTTTCTACTACTGGTTGTCATGCCTCTGCAACCTTCCATTGCTAGAGGGACCACTCTGACAATGACGGCGACGTCATGGACGCTAACGGAGGTGCATCTAGCCAGGGCGCCCATGTGTACGAGGTCACTGTCCGCTACCTAGTGTAGTTTGTTTTTAGGTTTTAGTTGAACGAACAAAATATCCTCTGTCTTAAGTAAATTATATCCAAACTTAAGTGAATTTTGCCTTGTTTGCATGTAATTTGTCCATTTTGTTCAAATCTGATTCAAAATGTATGCGGGCATAGTTGGATGGCCGACTCGGACATCAGTGCCCATGGACTATCGAGACAAGTCCGTGGAAAAACACAGTGTTCGTTATAGGGCATCTCCAACATTATCGGATGATGCACATGGCCTTGCATTATTTAATTCAATGTTTACAGTATCTAATCTAAGCAAATGAAACGATGTAAGGACTCTCCCAATGCAGGTTTCAGTTTATAGGTCTTGCTGATATTGCATAATAGTTAATGAAGAGAGATGGATGTTGTAGTTTAGCTAACAAACAATCCTTGCACCTGGACATAGACAAAAAATATTCTGGACCAATCACATATATGCATGAGCCTCAAATCATTAAATTTATATACAACCCCTAAGAAATAATGCATGCATGGTCACCAAATGTGATGAAGTAACATCAACCGAAAAATAACATGAAAAAAGTTGAAGACTCATTCCTCAGAACTCCTATCACTAGACTGTCACCCATATCTGAGCGATCATTCCCCAATTATTGTATCTAGAGATCATGGAGACCCAATCCTGCTCCCAGATCATAAAGGTCCACATATGGATCCAATTATTAGCTTTGAAAATGACCTGATGTGCAAAAATTGGAGCTTTTGATCTGTTAAGGATAGCAATGAGTCGAGTTCAACAATATCAAATACATACCCCAATCGATGAAGTCATTCTTTAAACAACACGAATAAACCCATGGACATAAAATTATGTCCATGTCGAAACCCAGTGGATGTCCATTGGGTATGGATATCCATTGGTTGGTCCCAACATGTATAAGCAGTACCTTAGGAAATAGTAAAAGCGCCAGCTAGTTCTAAGGTTAACACTTTGGACAATATTAGATAAGCACAAGTACACAACACATCAATTTCCATTTTAAGGTCCTCACAAAATGTAGCACAACATCAAAGGTTCCCACACAAGTCAGACTATGAGGTTGGGTTAGAGCACGCCCACATGCATAGAGTCATGCCAATGCAATACCCACGACTGGTTGGGTGGGGTTTGGGCACTACGCATGAGAGCAAAAACAAATCTAAACCATGCACATTTGGTTCGGGTATCTATGGGTATTCATGTCCATGGGTAAAATTTCCATCCTTACTAAAAACACAATTACTGAGCCAAATTCATGTAGCCCAAAGTAAAGCAGTAACTTCAACATGAATATGGACATTAATGCTAGGATGAATACCCACCAACCTGTTTTCGAACATATTCAAACTACTTGTAGGTGGAGGTAGATTAAATGGGCATGAGAAGTATGCCATAATAATTTAGAAAGTTGGCATTAAAGGAAAATATGCTAAATAGATACTTCAATGCTGCAAAACAACATTTTGTGTAACTTTATCACTCACGCTTCCTGAGGTTATGCTTGTTAATGGAACGTTAAGCTTCCAAATATACTTGCGATGAAATGGCAGGTCTTCGTTGATGAGGCATGTATACACGATCAATTTCACGGAGATAGCGCCAGAGGAATTCTAATTCAAGCGGAAAAGTGTCTAGTTCATCACTGATGGTAACCATCATCAATGTATTGACGAGGTGTAACTAGTCCATCCACTTTTTCCCCAACGAGAGACCGTCCAAATGCAACATTCCAATGAAAACCTCATTCCATTGCACAATGTTTTAAAGACGAGGGTATTTCAAACCTATAGGCTCCTCTAGCCATGCATCCTCCCAAAACCTTATGGTTAAGCCATTGCCCACCACAAAGCATCCTCTGCGAAGATTTCCGTTTTACCCATGTCGAACCTTTCCAAGTAGGTGAATGAACGGGTTTTCCTTGAACCTGGGATAAGGTTTTTGAGTGGAGATACTTATTTCTAAACAAGTCGTGCCAAACCCATCCTCACTAAGTAACTTGAATAGCCATCTGCTGAGAAAACACGTTGTTTTTATTTTAAAGACCTCCATACCAATACCATCATGGTCTTTAGGTCTGCAAATGATGCCTCATCTCATTAGGTGATATTTGCTTTTGTTTCCATCACATTGCCAAAAGAATCTAGATCTATAAAAGTCAAGTCTTTTCCTAACCACGTTGGGTATTTCGAAGATGGACACATAAACATTGGGAAACTAGTTAGGACATCATTGATAAGCAGAGAGACAAGTGGCCACTTAACTAGCCCCAACACTAACTAAGGAAGCATAGAGATGAAAAAATCATGTAGTAACATAGCATAGAATGTCATGAAGGTATGTGAAAACATCCGGGTGGCACAGATTAATTGGTGCCATGTGATAGAAACCGCTATTTAAACCATTCCTGGAATGAACCTCTTTTGAAGCCCTTGCCATGTCGAGCATAGTGGAAGAAAGAACTAAAAAGTACAAGAAAATTTCATGTAGCCGAGTAGGTAACATTGTGGTTAAATGTATTACGAAAGACAGGATAAATTATTAGCTTATCAAACACTCTTTAAGCCGAATGAAAGAGATTGAAGAAATCCACAACTAACCTTACTTAGATGATTTTGTAAGGTTTTATGATTGTGCATCATGATGGAAGGACCGGTAAAAATAGAACTCTTGCATTACCTAGAAAACATAAGGGTTATTTTAGCCGATAAAATCATGTGATGAAATAAAATATTGAAAATTATTTCGCATAATCTTTTCACACCATTGTTCCTCAAATGTGTATGTAGGATACAATGACCCAGCTAGGCAGCCTGGATGCGGGAGCGTCATACATTAAGAAGTTGAAGGAGAGGATCGATGAACTACAACATAGGAGGAGCTCTATACAAGCCTTGGATACCATAAGAGGAGATACTAGCATTCCAACGCCCACCACCATCACTATCATGAGCAGCGGTGCAGGGTCACCAGAAGAAGGGAAAGCTTGGGAGGAATTAGCACCGGTATTGCAGGTGCGAGAACACAACGGTTCAACGATGGAGGTGAGGTTGATATGCTGCATGGAGAGGCCGATCAAGCTCCACGAGGTGATCACCATCCATGAGGAAGAAGGTGCAACGATTGTCAATGCCAATCACTCTATTGCTGGCCACAAAATGGTCTATACTATACATTCTCAGGTACGTGTGTGCGTAGGCATAGCCTTTTGCATTCATAACTCGCAAATACGTTTTTATTGCAACAGGTAGGGTGTACATGAATCTGCGGATTCAAGTATTGAACAGTAATAAATTATGCCAATAAAATATAGCTCATGTTGCATGAAAATCTTATCATTATATTCATATTAAAAAGCATCAATTTCTTGAATAAAATTATTTTTGTGATACAAACAGTTTTCCTTTTCGGAACTTTGGATGAATAGGCTTATTATTAGAAAAAATATTAATCATACTTATTTGAGGGGTGCTCATTGTTTGTAGATCTAAAAGGACGAAGGAAAATATGAGTGTCCCATAAAAGAGATGACCGCTATAGGCGTAGATCTAAAAGGACGAAGGAAAATATGACTGTCACATAAAAGAGATGACCGCCATGCATGTACACGTACATGAAAAATGTGGAACCATATTATTCCTCTCTGACCATTTTCTTATATTGTGGAACCATA